TTGGTGTCATCTTCAAAACCAGCTGCAGACAGAATGTCCATGATCCTTCAGTAAGAATGATGTAATATCCAGGGGCTGGATCAGCAGGTGGTGTAGTGGTTAAGGGCACTGGACTACCACATGGCCAACTACAGTTGAAGTCCCTGACCAGGCTGCTGCCTTTCTCACTTTCCCTCTCACCCTCTCTCTCTGACCCTGTCCCTCTATGGTCAAATTTAAATAAATAAATATCCTGGGGTCAAAAGATGGTGTGGTACTTAAGGTGCTGGATCCCACGTGGTCGACACTGTCATTCAAGTCCTGAACCAGGCAGCTTGAAAAATATGCCAGGCACATGTACATGTATACCCAAAATTCCAAGAGAAAATGGAGAAGAGACTGTGGAGTGGCCATTTCCTCTGACACGTGATTTCTCTCTCTCTCTCTCTGTCTCTCTCCGGTGAGCGCACATCTATGACAAAAATCAATTAAAAAAAAACAATGTAATATGCACAATCCTACAATCTACGATTTACGGGTTTTTTTCTTTTAAGGCCTGAGCAATTATGAGTAACAGTGCAAATTTCAGGATGGTAGCACTGATTACATTGCAAGAATATAGACAGTATATAAACTATAATCAAAAGGTATACAGCAATTACTAAGTACTGTTATAAACTCTTTTATTTTTTTAAGGTTTTTAACCACAAAGTGCATGGACTCACCGGGGATAGAGAGTGAGAGTGAAAGTGAGAACTCACCCAGCAGGGGCATGGCCACATTGCAATCCCGTCTCCTCTGCTCTCCTCTCAGGATTTTATGCATGCGCACACACGCACCCAGCATGATTTTCAAGTCACTAGATCCAGGACTCAAATTATGGTTGAACATGTAGAAGTCCAGCACATAACCATTATTCCATGTGCTGACCCCAGCTACTATAAACTCAAGACTAGCACATTTGCAGCAATGTAAGTCTTCTGTATTTCCCAAACCTGTTTCATTATAGTCACCCTTGGACACTTACAAAAATAGAAATTTCTTGCACCCATCTCACACATACTATTTAGAATAATGTACCTATGAGGGCTGGCAGGTGGCATGGTGGTTAAGATTGCTGGACTCCCACATGGCAGACTGATTCAAGTCCCAGACCTGGTGGCTTGCTTTCTCGCTTTCTCTACCTCCCTCTCTGATCAAATGAAAATAAATCAATAAAGTTAAATAAAATAATTATTAAAAAAACCAAAAAGAATAATGTACCTATGATTTTTTTCTTTTTTGGGGAGGAGAGGCAAAGAGCACCCATGCTGGCTGGAGAGAGACAGGGAAAGTGAGAAATCACCACCCATGGGGAATGGCCACACCATAATCCCTTGTCCAGTCTCCTCTCAGGATTGTGGGCACACACAAACAGGTGCCTAGCGTGATTTTCAAGTTACCAGGTCCAGGGCTTGAACTGTGATTCACCATGTGGGAGTCCAGCACCTTGATCACCATACCACCTACAGAAACATCTTAACAATTAACATATTTTAATTAGTTAAATTATTTCAGGAACCACTTTGTTTTTAGATGAAATCTTTCCATTAAAGTAAAATTATAATGGAATAAAGTTGTTACTCTAGTAATATAGAGTCAAACATATCTATAATCCCCATTTATAAAGAAAAAAATTCAGATAACTCATTCATAAATAAAAAATCTGGCATTTTCAACATTAACAAACTTTCTTGGCTATCAGACTTTTCATCTCAAGACTCACTGGTGGTCTGAGTAGGGAGGGACTCTTTTTGAAAGTACACAATTTTTTTTTTTTTTTGAGAGGTTTTGCTATAGGGTGCATGCACTTGCCAGAGAGAGACAGAGAGAAAGAAAGCGAGAACCCCCCACCCCAGGGGATGACCATGCAGCAATCCCTTCTCCTCCATTCTCCTCTTGGGATCTGGGGCATGCAAATGTGCCCGGCATGAGTTTAAGCCACCAGGTTCAGGACTCAAACCGCAGTCGACTATATGGGAGTCCAGCGACATAGCAATTACGTTAACTGCTGGTTCCTAAGGCACACAATTTAATTTAACCTTAATAACAGTATTTTCTAGTCCATGCTTATCAACTCTTATGAAATTCTAGGACTTTCTCCAAAAGAAGTAAAATGAATTACCCCTAAGAAAAACTGTGGGGGCCAGCAGTTGGCATAATGGCTATGTCACTGGACTCCCATGTAGTCAACCCTGGTTCAAGTCCCGTACCCAGTGGCTTAAACTCACTGCCAAGTATCCTGAGATGAGAATGGAGGAAAAGGGATTGCGGTATGGCCATCCCACATGGGGAATAATTTCTCGCTTCCCATCTCTTTGTCTCTCTCTTTCTGGCAAGCACGTGTGCCCTATAGCAAAAACCTCTCCAAAAAAAAAAGAAAAATTGTGAATTTGCAAAAATGTATCCCACCCAGTTAAAAAATGCAACTGAGCAAGGTACCATTTTTAAACTACAGATACTAACTACTCATGTGCAGACAAACTCTTTCCAATTATAACATGCCCAACTGAAACATTCTAGTTCAATCTTGCCTTAAGAGCTGCTCAAAAATATTTTCACTCAGCAGTTGGCATTCCCAGATAATGTACTCACAGAGGAATGCCTCTTGCCCTCTGCCTCGCTCCCCACATTTGCCTTGCACAGTAAGTTCACAAGGATTCCCATATATGTGTGCCTACCACTTGATAAGAGGGACATAAAATCACAGCTGTTCTGTCCCACTTCTAGGGATATGCCAGAGAGTAACGAAACCACATCTATGCAAAAACTTATACGTGAATGTTTAAAATAGTATGATACGTAACAGCCAACAAATAGGAGTAACGGCCCATTGACAGATCAATATAAATTTCTGAAATGTGTTTATACAGTAGAATATTATGTGGCTATAAAAAGGTATTGATGCATGCTTCAACATGGATGAACTTAGAAAATGCTAAATCGGAGACGCCAGTAACAGAAGATCCACACTGTATGAATCCCATTTATGTGAAATGTGTAAAGCAGGCAAATCCACAGGAACAGAAAGTAGATCAGTGGTTGCCTTGGGGGGGCGGGGGGGTGGAATAAAAATGTCTGCTCTGGAGTGTGGGGTGTTGAAAACTGACTGGGGTGATGTTTGCACAATGCTGTGAATATACTGAAAACCATTAAGTTGTGTAACTGGTGAGTTGGGTGGTGTGCTGATTACAGTCCAATACAGCTGTTAAAAAAAATCTGCTATTCTGAAAATAGATACCTACCTCCAAACTCTAATATATATTAAAAGACAACTCTGGGTGACCAAATAGAATAAGAATCAAATTATGTCTAAAAAATAATGATAAAAGGACAAAAGTATTGTTTAAAACTTCAGAGTTGGGGCTGGCAGGTGGCATGGTGGTTAACATGCGGGACTCCCACAGGAACAGGTGGCTTGCTTTCTCACTTTCTCAAACTCTCTGTCTCTCTCTGGTCTAAAAAATTACTACTAATAATAAAAAAAATTAAACAATTCCTTATTAAGATTGTTTTTAAAAGTCGGTGTTGTATGCCTACATTATTTCCTAACAAAAACATATCTGAAAAATGATTATTATGTCTGGCGAGCTCACGCGCCCTATAGCGAAAAACCTCTCCCAATAAATAAATAAATAAATAAATAAATAAAACTGTTGCAAATATTTTAACTTGTCCTTAAAGCTGGATGATATTTAAATAAATATTGATTAAATGATGTGCTAGTGGGCACTTTTTTTTTTGCTAACAAAACTGATGGAACTCAACCTTACATATGCTTGGACTGAATTCAACCAACTACTGGGCTACATTACTCCACATAAAAGGAACCATGTGAAAAACAGAAAAGTACCAGCTCATTCAACATGAGAGGCATGTCAAAACCCTCACTAATTACCAAATGACTATTTCATAAGGGTTTAAATATTTTAACTTGTGGGTACAAATGTTTATATGGTATCAAACTGTGTGCATTTAAGTATAAGCACTTCACTACCTTCACACACACCTGTTTAGTATTCTAGATGTTTTTAAAAAAAAAGGTATCTGAAGGGTGTGGTAACCCAGCCAAGGTCATACGACAAGTCAGGGCAGAGAGCAATATTCTGCTTTCTACCAAACCTCAGGGGGAAATTTTACTGCATTTCACAAAAACAAACAAACAAAAAATTTGTCTTGCTTTACAATGCAAAGCAAGAACAAAACAAAACAAAAAATGGTGGTGGGGTCAGCTTAGTTTAAAACTCGACAGAGGCAGTGAGCTGGCTATTTTGGATAAACAAACACTTGCATGGGGAGTGGTTAAAAGCTCCAGCACTATCAGCCGAGGACATGTGAACTACTGCCCAGATCCTCCGGGTTTCCACCCTAGCTTGAAGCCTCGGCTCAGAAAGTCTAGCTGTCCCTAGATCATGAAGGCAGGGAACGTGGGGTCCCCCTGAAAAGTGGAAAGAATAAAATCAAACAAAAGACGAGTTAATGTGAACTGTATCGCTCGCTTCCAAAGGCGGAATACAGTAATATAACAGCGTGTGCCGGGACAGCGGTGAATTAAGGCTAAGCAACTTCAGATTTCTGACAACCTGTGAGAAGGGACGCCTAGGGCCGGCCAGCTCATCTCCCACGCTCGCAGCGAGCTGGTGAAAACCCGCCCTCGCCCACGGAGACCATGTCTACAGCCCG